AACGAACACACACACACACACACACACACACACACACACACACACACCTGTTATGCGAGGGAGGATGGCCCTGACCTAGGGGAGAGAAGCGGCAAGCAAGTCCGGTCTCCATGGGAACCCTCACCTGGAAGACGATATCTCGAAGTGGCGTGTCGCATCGATCCTTCCAACCACCTGGCTGGCCGGCGTCGTGATTCAATGGTGGTGCATGCCCACCATTCACCGCTTTTTCATTCAACGAAAATAACCCATCCCCGGTTCTTGTTCACCAACGACGAAGATGGTAGATTCGAATTTACCATTGTAAAATATGAGTGGTGTTTTTGTTTTTTCCCTGTCGAAATATGAAACAGAGTATTCCATTACTATATCTTCTCTATTCCTGCAATTAAGAGACGCTCCACGAGTTTTTGAGACATTCTTATTTTTCAACGCATTTGTGCAAACAAGCAGGAAAAGGGTGTAATTCTCGAAGCTTGCCGCAAAAACAGACCGTTAAAATTCCATTTATAATTTCGTTACGACGTATTAAAAACCAGCAGTTTGTTCCGACAAACAGGCTTCTTCTCTCCCTCTCTCTGTGAAAATTGCTTCGCTCGTTTCAACGATAATAATTAATTTGAGCGAGGCGAAAAAGTTGTATAATTCAGTCGAGTATAATCAGATCGCATCACGATTTTTCCACATTGAACGGCTTGTAGTACGCGTATCGATTATAATATATTCGATACGCCACGTTTCATTCGCCTGCCGAATGAAAAATCGAACGCGGGTGAATAATTTTTGTAAACATTTCGCAAGCCACTTGGAAGATCGAATAACGATATTAACGCTAAACCTACCCATTTCAAATGACCATTTTTGAAATTTCCTTTAGAATTTCTTGTATACAAAGTTACTTGGATATGACTTTACAACAGCAGCACAAAATTCGGTGTAGACATAACCGATCGCACATTATTACACAGCACCAGAAAAATATTTTGCTTAATATCCAATCAGCTAAAATCCCTTTCTGTATTTGTAAGGTACAAATGTTTTTTTTTTTCCCGCTCATGGTAGGAATAGGTATACATGAAGTGTCGGTAGGTTTGGTGTTAAAGGGTTGCAATTCGCAGAAAGTCAGTGAAACTCGTGGATATATAATAAGTGGTTCACCAAGATGCTCGAAAACTGGTTTCGACGAAAATCGGATCGGATTTAAAGATCGTTTTGGAAGGAAGGAAAATTACAATTCCGAGTAAAAAATAATTTCCCCCGCTGTTTGCGATACTTGCGCAAACAGAGTGGAGCGTTGGTCGAATCGAAAGATAAACAGGGCGTTGAAACTTGAAAGTAAATGGGCCAGAAACGTTTCGAGCAAATACGTCCAAGGGAGCGGCCAATCGCGTTACTTGTCTTCGTACAATAGATTCGTCCCCGAATCTACGACTTAGCAAGTCAGATTCGACCCCCCTCGGGGCCATCCCTGATCCACTACGTCTCCGCGAGGAATCGGCCAAGAAATTGCCGATTCGGGTCGATTACTCTCTCTCTCTCTCTCTTATTTTAGAGAAGAAATTAATCCCTGGATCAAAGAAACGTTTAATCAATGGCGCGATCATCGAACGAAAAATTACAACGAATTTTCCCCGAAAAAGAAATGGAAAAGAATATCGCGGATCATTCGGTCCCGATATTTTATTTATCCTCTTAGGATAAACGGAATTCGTAATTTCAGACTCTTTAGACTCACAACTCTCCCCTTCGATCCTTCCAGAAACCCTCGATTTCGATTCTTCCAAACTTTCTGCAATTATCTTCTTCTGCAGAAAGAAGATCGTTGTCCTTTTTCTTTTACGAAGCTTGAACGAACGTACGCTTCGCTATCGTTGGGATCGTAGATCTAGATTTTGTTATCCCGATCCAACGACTCGAATGTATTTGTTACGTCTTGTTTAAACAAATTCGATTTAAAGGATTGAAAAATAAAGAGAGAGAGAGAGAGAGAGAGAGAGAGAGAGAGAGATACTCGATGAAAATTCGATGAGCAACGTTCGCGGATTAAATTAGAATCCGATGGGATGATTTATTTAATAATAGAGGGGAGGAGGGGGGGGGGCAGCAACGTATTTCGACGATATATTTTTCGATAATGAAAAATTATGGATTGTTTTATTCCTTCCTAAGATAAATGGAAACTGGACACGAACGTAGCCAGGCACGTAGCCAGAAATTTATAGTTTGCGGAAATACATGTGTGTGTGTGTGTGTGTCCAGGCCACGGTTTGCAGATATCTCGAAGCTATTATTTCAATCTCGCATTTGTTCCCTCCCTTGTTGTATAAAAAGATTCGTTCGTCGCTGAATTTCTTGGCGAGACGAGAGATTCCTCTCCACGCAACACGATCGTTCCATCGATCGTTGATCGATAAACCGCACAGTTATCTCTCTTCTGAAGGAAAGGAAAATCTACGCAGTAAACAATAAGCGATAAGAGCGAGCACAACGTGGCGAATCAGCCACGTAAGATTTAAGATTAGCCGAGCTTCTTCGAGTCGTTACGATTCTTCCCTGCACGGCTCGGGGAAGAATCGTGTACAAATCCTCGACAGTCCTCTAAAAGAAGGTACAATTGCTAGAAATTATTAATTTAATTCACAATTACATCAGAAAGAATTGCAATTCACAAAATTAAAAGCAATTCCCTTTGCTTTTAAACGAACAATGAATTGAACGCGATTACAAATCCCCGTTCGAACAAATCCTCAAAAAAAAAAAAAAGAAGAAAAAGAAGAAGAAGAAGAAAAGAAATAGAAGAGCGTTCGAGACGCATGTGTAAACCATTGTCACAAATTATCGCCACTCCACAAATACAAGTAATCCGCCCTGTTCACGAGCTACATCCGTTCGAAACTTTTGCATGTTGAAACCGGCTAATAATTCCAAGAGGCGAATCTCTTCGTTGGGTGGAAAGTCGATCATCAAGCGTTCGACACGAAGGGTTGAACGATCTCTCTCGCCACCTCTCCTTCCCCAGAGAGAGAGAGAGAGAGAGAAGGTTTGCTGAATTCGCAAAGATCGTGCAATTTTTCCGCCCGGCTCGATTGATTTTTCAGAGAATGCGAGAGGACGAATCGAAGGAACGAGTTAAAGCGTCGTTCCGAATATTGTACTTTTTCGAACGAAGTCGTCGGATGATTCTCAATGATGGAGAATTCAAAACGTATCGATAGGAAAACGATCAGCTTGTCGTCGATTCTTGCCGATTTTCGATTTG